TTAATGCTGCAAAATAAGTAAGCTGAGCAAACCTTGTAATTGCTAAGTACATATATAATCACTCAAAAACTAAAACTTAAACTAAAAAATATTTTAAAGCAATCCTAAAACTGAAGAAAACAAATATAATCTCACAAGTAAAAGAGCAGTCACATTACAGAAAAAGGAGCCTGTATTGCAATAATATTTCCTAAGGTGGATCTGACTGACAGTCTCCATATAAATCCCAGGCATTTTATAAACTAAACTGAGAAGATAACAAATGCATCATAGTGGATAAAAATATAATAAACACCATAAGAGATACAGGTGGGGGAACACATGTTTTCTTTGGAAGCGATACACAGGCTGGTTGCCTCACGCTTTTTGAGGGGTGAACAACCCACTCTTCTGTTAGTCATCCTTGAAAGGTCTGCAAGCATCATCTTTCTAAAGCAAGAAAATCACCTTGAGCATTCTTTTACAAAAACATGCATGCTGAGTAGCTAACTCTCTAAATATCAGGTAAATTTGACATTAAGATGGCTGAAGGTGCTCACTCGATATTTGGCTGCTAAGAATATGGGCCACCACTTCCCTTGCCACCTTTTGAGAGCCTTCAGAGCGGGCAAAAGATAGAAGGGGCGAATAGTATAGATATATAATATCTTACACTATATATGTATATAGATATATATATCTTATAGTATATATAGATATATATATGACACCAAACTGGGAGGTGTGGTAGATAGACCAGCAGGCTGTGCTGCCATTCAGCGTGACCTGGACAGGCTGGAAAGTTGGGCAGAGAGGAACCTCATCAGAGGTTCAACAAAGGCAAATGCAGGGTCCTGCACCTGGGGAGGAACAACCCCATGCATCAGTACAGGCTTGGGGCGGACCTGCTGGAGAGCAGCTCTGTGGAGAGGGACCTGGGTGTCCTGGTGGATGACAGGTTGACCATGAGCCAGCAGTGTGCCCTTGCTGCCAAGAAGGCCAATGGCATCCTGGGGTGCATTAGGAACAGTGTGGCCAGTAGGTCGAGGGAGGTTCTCCTTCCCCTCTACACTGCCCTGGTGAGGCCTCATCTGGAGTACTCTGTCCAGTTCTGGGCTCCCCATTTCAAAAAAGACGAAGAGCTACTGGAAAGAGTCCAGCGGAGAGCTATGAGGATAATGAGGGGACTGGAGCATCTCTCCCACAAGGAGAGGCTGAGGGAGCTGGGCTTGTTCAGCCTGAAGAAGAGAAGGCTGCGAGGGGACCTAATAAATGCTTACAAATATCTTCAGGGTGGGAGTCAGGAGGATGGGGCCAGACTCATTTCAGTGGTGCCCAGCGACAGGACAAGGGGCAATGGGCACAAACTGAAGCAGAGGAAGTTCCGTCTGAACATGAGGAAGAACTTCTTCCCTCTGAGGGTGACAGAGCACTGGAACAAGCTGCCCAGGGAGGTTGTGGACTCTCCTTCTCTGGAGATATTCAAGACCCGCCTGGACGTGGTCCTCTGCAGCGTGCTGTAGGTGACCCTGCTTCGGCAGGAGGGTTGGACTAGATGACCCACAGAGGTCCCTTCCAACCCCTCCCATTCTGTGATTCGCTGATATACACTATAGATATATATATATCTCTCTATATATCTATCTTACACTACCATTCATCAGAATTAGACTACCAGCAGGTTAGGGGAGCTGACGAACCATCTACAGAATACAAGAGGTGGTGAGATGGGTCTCCTCCAAAGGCACAATAAGGCATTCAAACACTAACAGAAAGTAAAAGGAGGTCAATGCTCAGGAAGACCAGAGACACACAATTTCTAAGGCAAGGAACTCCATTTTGCACAGGAGGACGGGAAAGAACAGATGCCTCTGCCTGCCAACTTTCTCCTTCATGCTCGGGAAGGAGGGAAACTGAATCCTCTACATACCGGAAAAAGGGATGGAGCTTAGCTCAAGACAGAAGCCATTTTCTATTCATAAACCCATCTTCACAGTATAGGAAGAAAAAACCCCACACAATTAGCAAGTCAAAGCATGTGATCTCAATAATCACGTGAGGAAGGAAAATACTACAGTATAATCTTCCACACTCAGGAAAACAGCGTATCAGCCTAGGTACCCCACAAACTGAGCAGCATTAAAATAGGAGCTATTTAAAGATAATGGCAGCCAAGTCTCCTCCAAACCCATCTAAACACACCTTCTCCTGCACAGAAACAACATTTCAATCCTCAGCACCACCCTTCAAAATTATTTACTTCAACTGTTTTCTGGAGTCAGGATTTTTACCATCTACTCTCTCAAGTAAACAAATGGCCTGTGTGAGGGAATGCCAAGGAGGACAGTCCACATACTCGCTTTCTCTTTCACTAGCAAAACATTATCTCCTTCCCCTTGCATTTGAAATTTTAGTGGTGATAAAAGAAAATGTCTGTTTGAAGACATAGTACAAATTAACTAGCAATAGAAAAAACAACAAATAACAAGTCTCTCAGTTCTTTAACTGGAAGAACTGCCCCACCCTGGGTGCACTTGTGAGAGATACAGCACAGAGTTTCTCCACAGTTTACACAACTAGTTTCAATCTGAGCTGTGAAGCCATAAATCTCTGGGACTGCCCTTATCAATCCTTTGGAAGAAGAAATCATGTTCCCTTCACTCAGAGGATGGAAAGTCAGTCCTCCACTCCCCAGTTTCCTCTTGGAAAAGTGAAATTGCTAACTCACCCTGATGCCTTTGAAAACTGTTTTATGTGGAGCTTTCAAACAATTATAGAAAGGTTTCTGTTAAAGCACTGAAGAGATGTGGAAAGAGATATTTTCACACACACACACACACACACACACCCCCCTTAATCCAGTCACCCCTGAAGGGAAGACCCAGGCTGTAAGTTTCTTACATCAAGAAACTACCAAAGCTTTTCCCACAGAAACATATTCCTTTAGGGAACTAGGGAAACTTACCATTACATACTCCCTGCATGCAAAAATAGACCCTAGAAAAGCACCTTTTCCTCTTCATATTCAGGGAAAGGAAGAAATCAGAAAACGGACTGCTCAAGCAGATGGGACCACGAAGGGACGGGGGCTACAAGAGCCTTCGCTCTTCCACAGAACAAGCAACGAAAATACCAGCCAGCACTAGCAGCAAAGCAAGCTGGCAGGATGCCGGACCCCACGCAGCAATCGCGGGGCAATGAGGAGAAGCGGGAGCCG